GGAAGGGAAGAAGAGGATCCTTGGCTTGGAGGCTTTGGCCTCCTTATATAGAGCTTGGGCCTCCTTGAGTGGGCTTGGGCCCGAGATGCCTTGCTTTGGGCTTGGGCCTGTTTATAGTCGTGTAGGCATATTAATCCATATCCCAACAGATAGTATCTTGGCCATACACTTACACCGATTATTACAGCAAGAAATTGGTATGAATTTCTTCATATATCAAGGGTAAGAAATTACAGTGTGATAATAAAATTTACCTCTTTTGGTAGGGCAACATTGTTGAAGCAAGTACTAAATAGCTTGAATGACCTTATTACCTACTATCTCCCATGTGATTTGAAAGAAGCAAGCTGGGAAGCCGTCAGAACCAGAACTTTTATATCGGAGAAACCAAAATGACATCTTTGATCTCTTCAGTAGTGACTGGGCACAAAGATGTGCAACTTGACCTGCAGACAAATTCTTTTTAGTAGCCTCTCATAACACTAGGTATACGGCGATGTGCGCTTTGTCCCGCGTTTATTGGCAAGTGTTTGAGGTGGTTGCGTGTTGAGATGTAACTCTTTTGAGTATGATTATGTCATTTCAATTAATTAATTTATTTATTTATTTATGATAAAAAAGAGTTATGAATGTTCGTCGATTTTCTAGTGATATTTGTAGATGGAGACTCCGAAAAAAGAAAAACAAACATGAATTTTATATGAATATATTTTATTTAACGAATTGTAAAAAAATTGTTCAAGATATGTACTAAATTTAGTCATCTAATATTTTTCTCATTGTACGAAATTTACCACCTCTCTACTCAAGGTTATCAATCTGCGGGTATACCCAGTGAGAAAAATGGGTTCAACATACCCGCAGGTCGACCCGTATCAAGGCTCTTTGGTTGGAGGTCACACGCCGTCGTTTTTTCATTTGGTTGTAAAGTGAGGTTGTCCTCCAGTTTTCCCCTTACTCATGCCCCATTTTTGGAATTCTAAGTTGAAAATTTGAATATTAAGGTTATATGAGTGTGTTTGAATTTTCATTATATTTTAGGTCATCATTTCCATAACATGCATTTCAAAAAAATGTTAGTTCTTTCTCAAATGGACAAAATAATATTTTTCAAACAGTCAAAAAATTTCTCTTATTGATTTACTGATAATAAGACAACATCTAACTTTGACTCCTATCGACAAAATGCAAAAGTGAAAATCTAATTAAAACATACTCAATAAATTTCCATTCATAAGTAACTATGGATACCTAAAACATGATTGCGTTTGATAATTTTTCACTTGTGTAATGTTAGTATACGTGTAATTATTTACATGTTAATTGAAGTTATAAAGATAGATTTTTATTTATAAATAATTATGGATACCTGAAAATCGATTGCGTAGGATATGGTTTGATATTCTATTTCTACCCAATTATTGTCTGGATATAAGTATGAAAACAACCCAAACTATTTTGAGTAAAATAATTTATATGTATTATTCATTCAGCCCGATCAGTGGCCATTATAGGTATGTTATATTGTCAATGAGAAAAAAATTAAATAGCTCTAGAGATGGCACATAAAATTTAACAAATGAGATGAATTGCATTCTTCTCATGAGATAGAATATTCCTCAACTAATATTGTATTACCATGTTTGTTCACATTCTTCCATCAAATAAACTTGTGGTCTACTGTTATCAAACATAAGAATAACTTAGGTGACAATAGTGCAAATTAGCAATACTCTTAGGCAACAGTAAAATGGTTTTAGCTTTATATTTTAGCTTTATATATATTAATATGGTGACTTCTATCGGATCTCGAGTAAATCTAGGGTACCTTATATTTTTAGAAAAAAAAGCTATCTAAATCTCGAATTTACTGTAAGTTTGGACATGATACTATACCCTAAGCTTTGACGAGTGAACCCTAGATTTTAATTATTTATATGATAGATACTAAACACTAAGATGATGGATATAATTTGTTGGATGTATTTCGATGAATCATGACCATCGATTATTATTTCTAATTATATTGATCTTGGTGTATGAGATTTATAGAATGAAGACCTAAATTTTAATCTTTCATGAATAGATTATTCAAACTATCTCACAAAAGAAATCATACAATATTTTTATAAAATTAGTAAGTAGTGTTAGATGGTCTTGATTCATGTTATAGTGTTTTTTCTTAAATATTTTTTATGGTTATAATAATGAACCATTAGACTAGTCAAACCGAGGTGATTCATCTGGTTTCATACCCAACCATGAAAAACATTGATTCATCTTGAATCACCAAAGAAAATGAACCGAAATTATATTGTAACTGGTTTGACAATTCTATTTGTTTGACCGTTGATCTAGTCCAGTTGTTATAACCAATATAGTCAAAATCATGATTTAAAACTTAAAAAGTTATGTTCTTACACTTTTAGGTTACTAAAATGATTCTACATAGAATCACACTTTTTCTTTACAATTGTAGTCAAAATCTATGCTTTAAACCTTAAAAATCTTACGTTCTTCAACTTATAGATCACCAGAACTATTCTACATAAAATCGCGATTTTAACTCCATTGCTTATAACATAGGGCCAATGAGCGAGGATAAAGTTTTCGTGTATGCCTCTATTCCATCCCCTTGCTGAATATGGTGGGAGGATAATAAAAATGTTAAAGTTTTTTTTATGTCTTAATCCTTTGTATATATTTTTTGGGGTCTGTTGTTAGGCTTGGATCTACCAAGGGCGATTTCATGGCGGTAATACCTTAAATGGCTTCTAAATGTAACAAAATCGTGACTGAACTTCAAGGTAAGTCCTTAGTTAACTATACCATAGTAATTAAGCATGCCAACAATGTGTGTCACATGATGCAATCTAACATCCAACTCATTGTCCATCACAGTTCACTTGCCATTCCATTTTCTATAATTGTCACAACAGAAAACAAATTAAAATGAAAATGAAGCTGTCATTTCCTGAGAAATAAAACCTGAAAAAAACTTGTTTAGCTGAGAATTTTGATGAGTTCTGAAACTGAATTCTGAAAATGAAAACTTGTTTAGTTACTTCATAGTTCATACTATTTTCTTCTGGTAGTTGAATACCACAATTTTTTTCATCTAAGTGTCATACAACTATAGTTATGATGATTTATTTTTATTTATATAATTTTTAATACGAATTGCATTGTTTTTAAACTAGTCACCAACATAATACAAGAACAAACATAAGACAATACAAGAACAAACATTTTATATTCCGGTAGTTGATTACCACTATTTTTTCCATTGAACATAGAACAATTACACATCACACTTTGAGCATTCAATTTATTTTATCCAAATGAAAACGTAATGGTTAGTGAACACCGTTTTTGTCTATGATTTCTTATTTATGTTTTGGCAACAAAAAACAAGAAATAAAATGACAAGTAAACGGACATAAAAGGAGCAACCATTTTGTTATGAATGGAAAAAAAATTAAGTGACCACATTATTACGTTCCGAAAGTAGTAACCAATTTGTTACATATCGAGAATAGTTTAACCTCCGAATTCATGTGCATCAGTAAGTTGTTCTTATTAACAAAAGAAGATAAAGAATTGAAGTAACACATTTCTCCCCAAAATTTCATTTATTTATTTTGAGCATGATGCTTGTATTCCTTATCCTGTGACGTATACTTCTATCGGTATACACTGTCCAAGTATTGGGAAGTAGTTGAGGTTCGGTTATCCAATCTAAAGAATGTGAACAAGTTAACTTGCTAGATAGTCACCACTCACCAACAGGTGTACTGAAACTTGACTCGTGATTGGAAGCCATTAATGGTGATTCAGTTTTGAAGAAAGTCTTCCCCTACAGAAAAATGGGGTACTCCATCCTCAAAACCATGCTTCACGTTTTTTTTAGTGGTGCAAATCACACCCTAATACACTATCAATTAATAAATTAACTTTCTAATTAACCTAAGAATATATATGATACATCATGCAATACGTCATGGTTGTTGTCTTAAAAAATATAAGAACCAAGTCACATTAACATGGACTTAGTTTACTAAATAATCTACAACAAAATTTACTTTAGTACAATGTCCATACAAAGGCTCTTCCAGTATTACGAAACAACCGGCATCGTGAGCCAACATGATTGTACATTGTTAGTTGTGTTAACAAGGTGTATACACTATATGGATGAATAACGTATTCAAAAAGATGACCATTTTTTTGAATGCTAAAGAAAGTTCTAATTGAGGCAGAGCGCATTTGTAATCCTTCTCATGGAGAGTTCTAGAATTCGTGCATTAGCTAATTCATTTTGACGACCTAAAAACATAAAAATATACGATTCTATGATTTGAAACACGATTTTAACTGCATTTGGTCATAGATGTGAAACCACGAAAGGAAACATGGAAGCCAACTCGGGAAAACGACTATTACCATCTGCTCCATCAATTCGAACAAAGTTTGAACATGCATGTATTGCACCATGTTTAGAAGTCAGAGAGAACAATTATTCAACTTTGTACAAGAGTTATGATAGAGTATAAATAGAGATTCACTTTTATAACATGTGGGGATGTAGCTCAAATGGTAGAGCGCCCGCTTTGCATGCGGGAGGTACAGGGTTCGATCCCCTGCATCTCCATTTATCTTTTTCTTCAGAAAAACGTTGCTCTGTTGGTGTGCTTTGTAGCGGAAGAAACCTTAATCCCTATAATCAACCTCAACAACCATTAATTTACCATGTTTCGACAGATTAAAGTAATGACATATATTAACCGTAGATCAATGATTATTATTTTTTAAGATTAGTTCAATGAGGACGTGTTCCCTTCTCCACTCAAACCTAATGATTGATATGTATCTGCCCCCAAACTCCTCCCGCTGCAAAACCAAGGCCAAGTGGGGAAATAATTAAGAAAAGAATATTGGGTTGAAAACTGCCATAAGAAACCACAAAGGTCAACTACCCGGCCATCTCCCTACTAGATTCCAATTCATTCATTTGCCTTTGCACGTTCTCTCTCTGTGTTTTCTTCTTTATTTTGTTTTATAACTTCCCTTCCCCCAACCAATATTGCAGGCAGCAGAACCAAAGATTCCACATCATGGCTCCCCCCTTTTCTTCCATCCACCACCATTTTTATTAATCATTCCTCACCATTCATTCATATAGTCATTATAAATACAACTCCTTTTTTCTTGCCTTGTCCTGCCTCTGCCTACCACATTTCCTGCTCCTCCAACTCCTTCAAATAAAGTTTTTCCACTTTCTCTGCCTTTTGGGTTTGCAATGAAAGAACAAGATTATGCTGCTTTTGCTGCTGAGGAGAATGATTATGATCAGATGATGACTAATAATGGGGAAGTCGAAGAACTAGAAGAAGAAGAAGAGAGTGGATGGACCAGTTATTTCGAAGATTTCTGCGCCGACAAGGAGGCAGAAATAAGCTTGTGCAGCTCGTCTTCCATGGTTTCTGATGCTTCTTCACTACCTAACCGTCCTCCTCCTCCTGCTGCTGCATGGAATAACAATTCCTCCCTTCCTTACAGTGGTAATTACAGTACATTAGTGCTGCCAAAGAAGCTTAGTTTCAAGAAGAGAAGAGGAGGAAGAGACAATATTCCCGGCCACTGTAATTTTAATTACCACGATGATTCCCTTGAAGACACCGCTAGTTCTCCTGTTAACAGCCCCAAGGTCAGTTTGTTAATTACTTACCCACTTCATATTTTCGATTCCTGGTAATTTCCTACTAAAAAACAAAAACAGTAAAAACAACTTCCAACCCTTTTCACAGCCATAATTCAACAATCATATGAACTTTTAAATGGGCAGGTTTCTGATTTGAGGAAGATGGAGATGATGAATTCCAGGAGAACGACTTGTAACGATGGTTATAATCCTTTCGGCACCACTTCTCTGGTAACGAAAATTAAAACCACTACATCATAATTTATATATTCTTTCTTGTGTTTGCTTGTTTTTTTTTTTTAAACCTAGTTATATGTACGTGTATTGATAGATGGTGGTTGTTGGGTGTTATTGTGTAGGGTAATATTAAGGGACGGAGGAGCAGCTGCTTGGAGCAAGAACAGATGGTTACAGATGATGATGGAATGATGGATTTCGACAGTAACAGTAAAAACGATGAGTGCACAGAGTTAAAGAAGAAAGGGCTTTGTTTGGTTCCACTATCCATGCTACTTAATTATATTGGCTAATTAGTAATTAGTAGTTGCAAATGTGTGTATATAAGTACAGAGAAAAGACCCTTAATTATTGTGGCTGTACGACGAAGCAGCAGTTATGCAGGGAATTTATGAGGTTCTTGTTTCTGTTCATGCATCTGTTTCTGAGTTTTCTTTTTCTTTGTCAGTCTTAGTCACATCATCTTTCTCTCTCACACTCACTGCCTGTATATATATATATGAGAACATGCGGTTACTATTTTTAACACCGAAAAGTAAAAAAAAGAGGGGGTCCGATCTGTTCGTACGTACGTAGTTTGAGTTGGCTACGCATGTGATGAATATCAGAATATCACATTCTCAATTATTTTGTTGTCAGATGATATGTTCATTTTCGTTATGTTACATTTTATTATAAGGTGATGTTACAAACATGAGATTACGCAATAAAAGCGGCGACAAACTAATAATGAAAAACCTTTAACCGATTAGTGGGGTAGATTTTGAGTTAAAGTGGGGTTTGGGTTAAGGTACAAAGTTCAAGGCCTTATGATTTTGTAATACTAAGAAAATCAGAATGGATGGATGAGATTGATAGAGAAATGGATGAAAAGTAGGAAATTTGGGAAGAGGATAATCGGATTTTGGGGAGCTAGCGTGGATTATCAGACGGATGTTAAACACTTTTCAAATTTATTATGAAACTCAACTGATCTTATCTCATTCGTTTCACATCGGATTTCAAAAAATTTTGCATAGAAAAATCATATTTTTTGTACTTTATAAGATGATGTCCGTTTTGATGTTTTTTTTAGCAATCTTTTTATGTAATCTTAGCACTGTCATATCACGTTAATAAAACTGACAACGGTATGAGAAGAGGAAACCAACAGAAAATGATGAGGGTAGAAGGGTTGTATGCAAACTTCACTAATAAGTGAAAGTGACGACAAATGGTAGGCTGAAGGAGACGAGCTTCCATGACAGCATAGTCACAAGGGTGGAGTGAGAGTTGTAGGGATGGAGACGGTTGACGCAGCGAGTGAAGATGACCTAGTTGTAGTAGCAATGAGAGCCACCTGAGAGGAAGTTGGACACACGTTGCAGGGAACTGAAGGAAAGGACGCTGGCAGCTAGACTCTGGATATGGCGTGTGCTGTTTTCGAGGTCTAGAAAAGACGAGAATGGAGAAGAAGGGATGATGAATAGGGACAAGGAATTCGTAGAAGAAAATACTGAAAGGATAATCTGCTAAATAGATAAAACTGATTTTATGTTTCTCTTTTGGTAAAAAAAAAAAATTGAACCAAATCCGACCTGGTATGGTTCTCATATTCGAATATCCAAAGTCTAAAAAGCGGTATAAAAATTTGGGGATTTTTAAGGCTAAAATGAACTTTTAACCTCCTCGAAATTATAAACGGCTTCAACTTGGAGGCTATAGTTTTTTTAGTGTTTATTAATCCTCACTTATGTATATGTATTTAAATTAAATTATTTTTTCACAAAAATTTGATACAAACATTCCGATAAAATTGGAGCAATTCCCGAGATACTTTTTTATAATTGAAATAATTAGTTAATTACTTTTATGATGGTTCATAGCCATTATTTCATTATTTAACAGCTATTAAGATTTAAATTCATATTTTATGTAGTTTTTGTGTTCAAATAGCAACCAAACGTTCAAGATTTTCGCTAAAACAAGTTTCATTGGCTAAAGAAACACCACATAAAAATAATAAACAAAACTACCAAGAAATAATAAAAAACTCTTCATACAATTTTAACCCCATTTTAACCTATGGTGTAGACTGTAGAGGTTTTTTGGGAGCAAAATGTGCATTTTAGCTTTTGGGATGTGGAGAGCCTAAGGCTCATGGTAAAGGAAACCGTACCGGAAGTCATACCGGATTCGTCAGTGGTAGGGTATTTTGTGGTACGATCGTGGTTCAATCGTTTCGTACCGGTAAATACCGTTTTTGTAATAGTAAAATATTTTTTTATATCAAAAAACCGTATCGGCAAAATTAGAGTACCGTTTCGGAGAAATACCGGAGTGTACCGGATTAAACCGGATAATATATACTAAATAATTATAAAATAACAATAAATACCAAAATATATTAATTGAAATAACTAAAAAAATAAAATTATATCTCCCTCAAATCCGTCTCATCCCAATCTCATCTTCCCATCTTAATATTTAATTCCAACTCTCCTCTCTCCTCTTTCCTCTCTCCTCTCTCCCTTTGGTTTGCGAGGAAGGAGGGATCTTCCCCAACTAATTCCAATTTCCAACTCTTCTCTCTTCTCTCTTTCTCTTTCAGGTTTGCGATGCAGGAGGGATCTTCCCCAACTAATTCCAACTCTCCTCTCTTCTCTCGTTTGCGACTAGTTGGAGGAGGATGTTTTCTATATTTCTTCCTTTTCTTCTAGGAATAATACCGATTGGGACAAAAGAAAGCATATCGATCGGAGGCAGGCAGGCTGGAGTTGCATGTCGAATCCCTCTGTTTATCCGTCTTCGCCGCGTGAAGTTGCATGTCGGGTCCGATCAATCGAAATCGGCGTTGTCTGTTGAGTACAGCGGCGATCGGGTCTGGAGAAAGGAGGAGCGGCAGAGTGAATCGTTTTTTAATTGTTTTTTTTTTCAATTTTGTCGCCTGAAATGGCGACGTTTACATACAAATTTCATTACCGCCGGTCTGATTTAAACCGGACGGTATCTCGGTTTATGCCGGTTAAGCCGATTAAACCGGCCGGCACGGTAGAAAGGAGGCTGGTCAGGTGCCGTTTCGCCATTGGCCGGATTCCCGGTTTTACCAGTTGAACCGGCCGGTACGATCCGGTTTCCTTTACCATGCTAAGGCTTTTACTCGGGTAATAGGGTTGAAGGCTTTTATTTTGGCTTTTTTGAGTAATAGACTTTTGATAAAAACTACAATATTTGGGTGTTACAAAGCGTAAAAGCCTAGGTTTTTAGGTTTGAAAACTAGCTTTTGACTACATTGGTTGACATGATGTTGGTAGAGGGGTGGGCATGTGGGTGGTTAATCCGCGAATTGATATCAATCCATCCGCAAATAACCCGATCCGCAAGTAGTGGGTGATTGATGTGGGCGGATTGCGGATAGATAAATTTTCCACTCGAACTTATGTATATACGGTAGAATGGGAATTATTTTTAAAAATTAGAAAATCAATTATTCTTTTCTTATTTTTTAATTTAATTTTTTTGTTTTATGATGGAGAGAACGAACTTTTTATAAGTTATGATGTCCTAAATCCTTATCCTATCCATATTTTTCAAGCCTGCCTACATATATACCCATTTCTATTTTTCCAACGAATTGATCGACTCGTAACTGTTACAAAATTCTTGTCCTTTCCATTACATGATAAAACAATTAAGCAGCAGCCGGCACCGGCAGTGTGTGGTCGTGGGCAAAACGAAGGAACATGATGATGAGCATTGTTTCATCTGAGGGGAAAACATGATGAGCATTAACATCAGACAATTGTGTTGTTAATTTTAATCACGTTTTATTATCCGAGAGAGAGATAATACAAGGACTAGGTATTATTGATATGACGCATGGAATGACTACTTGAATCCAATTGTTTATGCATGATAATGAAAATTAACAATAGGATTATGTTACATAGAGCAGAGTTAGTAAAATACGGCAAGGAAAAGTTATGTATATGTACGGGTATTTTACGTTATCTCTAAGTTAATGTTACGTTTAATGGTATGTTAATAATAAATATATAAAATAAATTATTTTAAAAATAAAGAAATATATAAATAGTAGTACTAAATTTGACAATTTAATTTATAAAATATGGATATTCAACGTGCTATACGGGTTTTATATGTGTTTAGTACGCGAGTCATCAAATGAACGGGAAAACATGAAACGACTTGACAATAATACAGATGCGAAAGTTTTAAGCGGATAAAATACGTATGATTACATATATGTGTATTAGACGGAATATTTACTAACTATGTCATTGAGTCTATACTTATTAAAAAAAAAATTGAAAAACGGGAAAACAAAATTTTTTTTGCCATAATTATCCCCGTGGGGATGTAATATAGATACGAAGTATATAAAACTCGCCGTAAAATCGAGATTTTTTTATGATTTTTGCTCTTTTCACCCACTTCCGGTTATCCAAATCAAAATCCAATCACAGACCCATTATCCCCCCCCCCCATCTTTGGCGGCCTTCGCCAAAATTTTGGGGAGATTTGGAGCACAATTTTTCCGATGAAGTCGCCGCCAGCGAGCCTCTGACGAGCTTCCGATGAAGGTCCGCGCGGCCCTCCTCTAGTCCATTTTCAGTCAGTTTTTCGCATTCATCGCCCTCTCCTCACTTCCCCTACCCTTCCTACTTGAGTCTCAGGTTTGTTTTCAACACTACCTTCTTGTTTAATTTGGGAGAAGCAGATTAGGTAGTGAAGTGAGGAGAATCTTAATGAATTGAATGTTGAACTTAGCAATAGGGCGAGGAATTAGGTGAATTATGGTGATTGAATGTTTGAATGATGTTTGCATGAGCTTAGTTGAGCCTTGGTGGGCATGTTTTGATTCAAATTGCTTTTATTTGTGGAATTTGCCCACCAAGTGCTAATTTGTGAATGAATGTGTAAGTTTTATGCTTGAGTGGTGGATGGTAGCCACCGTAGCGTGGTTCGGGTTTAATTTTTGTGTGGAAAATCCGTGAACTTGGGCCATGAACTGAGCGCGATCTCAGTATAAAAGGTCAGCTTAAAGGAAGAAGAAGCGGGGAGACCTAGTGTGAGAAGCTTCTTCTTCTTCAAATTTCTAAAGTGAAAAAGTGATGAACCAAAGAAGAGTAGAAGCTAGAGTTTCATCTCCAAGCAAGGAATTGAGAATTCCTCCCCCTAAAGAGGATCTCTTCAACACAAGGGGCAAGGCTAGCATCTCTTTGATGATTTCCCTTTTCTCTCTTGTATTTTCCCTTCTCCTAGCACGGAGTAGTCCCATCTTTCACTTGGGTGTTTGTAAACCCTAACTACAATTATGTGAATGCTTGTATGAATTGAATGATTTGTGTGTAGAAATCTGAAGGGCTCGGCGACCACATTGTCATCTGCAGGATAAAGGGAGGAGGGTGGGAGTAGGGGTGGCTATACGGTCCGGTTAAATTGGACCAAATTGATCTGGCCCAGTCCGGTCTTTTCGAAAATATAAGGACCAAAAATTTGATTGGATACAATCCGGTTTTGATCCGGTCCGGTCCCAATTCGGTCTTGA